CGCCGGCCGGGGGCTGGCCTTGCCCTCCTCCCCCACAAGGCAGCGCATTGAGCGCCCGGCAGCGCCCGGCCGCCCCGCAGCGCGTCCGAGCGAGCCGCGGGGCCGGCGCTGAGCGGGGCCGCCCCGCCTGGACGGCCTGGTATGCCGCCCGCTGCCAAGACGTGGCCAAAAAACAGTAGCGTTATTTAAAAGACAAGGAACTGCCCACGGAATTAATGCTTAGGAGGAACAAAGGTTTTTTTGATTTTCGGGCAAAAACTTTCTTATAACTTCCCAGGAATTTATGTCTGAAAAATTGAAAACAGCTTAATTAAGAGCTATATGTCAGATTAACCAGTTGTGCTACCAACAAGTGCTCATAACTGGCTGGTGCTGACACGCAGGCTCTGTTCAGCAAAGCTCCAAGGGAATGCCTAGCATTTTGAAGGCAAGGACGCCCAGATAACAGGACTACTCCGAGGCAAACACTTGGGCACCATCAGCACCTTCCTGAGGAGCAGGACGCGCCGCAGGCTCCACGTGTGCCCAGGTGCAGCCGGACGCACCGCAGGCTCCGCGTGTGCCCAGGGGCAGCCGGACGCACCGCAGGCTCCGCGTGTGCCCAGGGGCAGCCGGACGCACCGCAGGCTCCGCGTGTGCCCAGGGGCAGCCGGACGCACCGCAGGCTCCGCGTGTGCCCAGGGGCAGCCGGACGCACCGCAGGCTCCGCGTGTGCCCAGGGGCAGCCGGACGCACCGCAGGCTCCGCGTGTGCCCAGGGGCAGCCGGACGCACCGCAGGCTCCGCGTGTGCCCAGGGGCAGCCGGACGCACCGCAGGCTCCGCGTGTGCCCAGGGGCAGCCGGACGCACCGCAGGCTCCGCGTGTGCCCAGGGGCAGCCGGACGCACCGCAGGCTCCGCGTGTGCCCAGGGGCAGCCGGACGCACCGCAGGCTCCGCGTGTGCCCAGGGGCAGCCGGACGCACCGCAGGCTCCGCGTGTGCCCAGGGGCAGCCGGACGCACCGCAGGCTCCGCGTGTGCCCAGGGGCAGCCGGACGCACCGCAGGCTCCGCGTGTGCCCAGGGGCAGCCGGACGCACCGCAGGCTCCGCGTGTGCCCAGGGGCAGCCGGACGCACCGCAGGCTCCGCGTGTGCCCAGGGGCAGCCGGACGCACCGCAGGCTCCGCGTGTGCCCAGGGGCAGCCGGACGCACCGCAGGCTCCGCGTGTGCCCAGGGGCAGCCGGACGCACCGCAGGCTCCGCGTGTGCCCAGGGGCAGCCGGACGCACCGCAGGCTCCGCGTGTGCCCAGGGGCAGCCGGACGCACCGCAGGCTCCGCGTGTGCCCAGGGGCAGCCGGACGCACCGCAGGCTCCGCGTGTGCCCAGGGGCAGCCGGACGCACCGCAGGCTCCGCGTGTGCCCAGGGGCAGCCGGACGCACCGCAGGCTCCGCGTGTGCCCAGGGGCAGCCGGACGCACCGCAGGCTCCGCGTGTGCCCAGGGGCAGCCGGACGCACCGCAGGCTCCGCGTGTGCCCAGGGGCAGCCGGACGCACCGCAGGCTCCGCGTGTGCCCAGGGGCAGCCGGACGCACCGCAGGCTCCGCGTGTGCCCAGGGGCAGCCGGACGCACCGCAGGCTCCGCGTGTGCCCAGGGGCAGCCGGACGCACCGCAGGCTCCGCGTGTGCCCAGGGGCAGCCGGACGCACCGCAGGCTCCGCGTGTGCCCAGGGGCAGCCGGACGCACCGCAGGCTCCGCGTGTGCCCAGGGGCAGCCGGACGCACCGCAGGCTCCGCGTGTGCCCAGGGGCAGCCGGACGCACCGCAGGCTCCGCGTGTGCCCAGGGGCAGCCGGACGCACCGCAGGCTCCGCGTGTGCCCAGGGGCAGCCGGACGCACCGCAGGCTCCGCGTGTGCCCAGGGGCAGCCGGACGCACCGCAGGCTCCGCGTGTGCCCAGGGGCAGCCGGACGCACCGCAGGCTCCGCGTGTGCCCAGGGGCAGCCGGACGCACCGCAGGCTCCGCGTGTGCCCAGGGGCAGCCGGACGCACCGCAGGCTCCGCGCGCGCCCAGGTGGAGCCGGACGCGCCGCAGGCTCCGCGTGCCCAAGTGGCCCTGCGAGAACAGGCTCCAGGACGCAGCACGACCTCCAGATCTCGCGGAGGGCTCCGTGTTATTTTAAGGTGTGCATCTTCCATGCCCCCAGGTTTAGTTGGTGTCTTTGTAATCTGAGCAGTAACACCTAGCCTGAAAAATGAATATTCTTCCCCAGATACAGTAAATTATAACACTGGCCTTTGGAGAACTACCCCTAACCCAGTAACATGGTCTCATCCATCACATCAACCACAAAAATCCAGTTTTGCCACTGACATTAACTGAATGAGAATACGGTTTGCAGCTAGGCTTGCCTCCTGCTATCAGCTATCTCCATAGAACCCTTAAAGCAGCGCTCACATTCTCGATGCTTCACATTTTGGAGAGATTGCACAAGAACGTGCTCACGAGCACCCTCCAGGTTGTCCTCCGCAAAGCAGGTTTCATATCTGCACTTCTATCCGTGTGGCACTCGCATTCCAGTTCTGA